GTGTGGGGACAGGACGGTGCCCTGGGGGACACCGGCCTCCATGGGACGGGTGGTGGAAAGGGAATCTTGGATTTGGATGCGGAATTTTCGGTGGTGTAGGTAGGATTTTATGAGTTTGGTAAAGGATATGGGATATTGGTTGGTGAGCATTTTCATCAGTAGGCCTTCATGCCAAACCGTATCGAAGGCCTTTGCGACGTCCAGGAAGACAGCACCAGTGTACTGTCCCCTGTTGAAGGCCGCCGTGATGTGCTCGGTAAGGCGAAGGATTTGGAGTTCAGTGGAGTGATTGGGTCGGAAGGCGAACTGCTCGTCTGGAATGACTTGCAGTTCTTGGGAGTGGGTTCTTAGACGGGTTAGGATAATTTTTTCTACCACTTTGCTCATAGCCGGGAGCAGGCTAATGGGCCGGTAGTTGGATGGGATGGTGTGATCTTTGTTGGGTTTTGGGATAAGGATTATGTTTGCTGTTTTCCAGCGGGTAGGGAAGTGTCTTAGTCTGAGTGTCGCGTTTGTTATGTTTAGTAGGGCCATGAGGCCCTTGTGTGGTAGTCGTTTAAGTGTCGTGTTATGTATATTGTCGGGTCCGGGGGCTTTTCTGTTTTTAAGTCTGCGTATTGTCAGTCTTAGTTCGTCAGGTGTTGCGGGGGGGATTATGTCATTGTCTGGCTCTCTGTCGACGCGTCGGGCCGCGCGCTCAGCCACTATCTCGAATTCCTCGTCTTCGTCGGGCAGCTGAGGCAGTCTACACTGCAGTTCCAGGCTATCGGCGAAAGCCTCGGCCTTTTCCTGGTTCGTGTAAACCACCCCCACACTACCGTGGATTGGAGGAATTTTACGGCGAGCGGTCTGTCGCAGGGCCCTCTGCGTTTTCCAGAGGCTGTTGTCTTGTGGATCCAGCGACTCCAGGTGCCTAGCCCAGTTATCCTGGGCCAGTTCATCCAGAGCCGCCTTCACCCGTCTGTTAAGTACGTTTAAGTCATGTCTGTGTCGGGGGAGGCGGGTGCGGGTGGCAAGCCGTTTCGCACGTCGTCTGTCACGTATTAAGTTTTTTATGTGATCGGGGAGGGTGCCCCGGGGGTTTGTCAGTCGGGGGACAATGGTCTCCGTCGTAGTCTATGTCAGGGCGTTTTTAATGTCAGTCTCAAGGGAGAGGATTGCCGCCTCCAGATCATGGGTGGTTTCGATGACTGGGAGCGCGATGTTTCCTTGCATTACTGCTCGGAAGTGCTGCCAGTCAGTGAACCTCACTGTATAAAAGAATGGTAGAGAAAGGAACGTTACCTTTGCATCTGTTCAGAATCAAAGTTAATTTCATAGACTATTTTGAAATTGCTATTAGCTGGTCACCAGAACGAATTAAAGGATGTTTTACTGATCACTGAACAGTGATCAACAACATTTACGTAAAGCCGTGGGAGAGTGTGGATAATGTAAATTATTGGGATGATAAAATGTCCTCTGTTCCACACAAAAAACCCTTTTACCCCTTTTATGTGAAAAACCTCCCTAAAAGGTGTAATGTCCTCCCATCTGGCAACACTGGTATGCACTAACATTTTGGGGTGCAACCGTAGGGTAATAATCACTGGAGTGGTGGGAGTAAACATCTCGAGATATCTCGAGTGATCTCAATAATCGAGTACCACTCGATTTTTCACTCGAAATCTCCCATCACTAATTTCAATTATGTCCACAGAACACCCTCTGTTCTGTGATTATGTCTGACAAAGCTGTGCCGAAGAATACTACTCATTGGTCAAATTGTTATTATATATCATCAAATTATTTTATCATTGTGTCGAACATTTATATTTAATATGTTATATATTATATCTTATATTTAATATTTTCCATTGTGTCCCTGCCTTAACTCTAACATTTCTAACCCTAATCTAACCCAATTTTGTTAACCTAATGCACAGATCACGGAAACAAAACCTAATGTGCTGGGTGCAAAATATTTGTATAAATTTTCTCGTATGATTTTATAATGTCTAAAATTTTTGAATGCGACTCTGATTCTGATGTGGAAATTAGAACAGATAATCAGTATGCCAAAAATTATAATGTATGGAGAAAAAAAGAGGAGTTAAATAAACGTATGTCAATTAAGATATTTTTATATATTATATATAATATGTAGTTACAAAAAAATTATTTTAGTTAAAACTAAATATGGGGACGATGTGAATCTAGATGAAGATTCGTCTAGTTCATCATCAGATGATGAGGAAGGCATTAAACTAACAGAAGAAAACGAAAGAGATTTTTTCAAGGCGTTGGCCTATTTGAAAAATAAAGACCCAAGAATATATAATGAAAATGTGACATTTTTCCAAGATAAGAATAAATCTAATGTTGTAACGGAAAGAAAGAAAAAAAAGAAAGATGTTCCAATGTATTTGAAGGATTATGAGAGGAAAATTATTTTGGAAAAGGGGGGAGTACTGAGTGACGAGGAATATGATACAGAAAATACATCAAAGTATTGTAGATAATTTTGTATCAAAACATGAATATAAGACTTGTTTTTTTTAGACCTGCTACATATATTGAAGAGCAGCGACATATTAAAGAAAGTTTAAAGACAGCTTTAAACGCTATTGATGATAATGTAGGTGATGAAGAATGGGGTGGTTTATTTAAGGAGAGGAATAAAACACAAGAAGAAAAAGAGAAAGAAGATTCTGATTATACAAAATGGCTTTTAGGTGAGAAAGAAAAAGTTGGCGAGGAAGTTAAAATAGAATTACAACAACTTAAGGAGTACTGGAACAATCCCAATTTAGATGAAGGTGAAAAGTTTCTCAGAGACTACATATTAAATAAAAAGTTAGTCCCCATAGATTTGACATAAAATAAAGTATCTAAATGTCACTTTATTTTAAGATTTCTGGACAAAGATGATGATGATTACATTCCAACGTATGAGGAAATAATTCACGATTCTGATCAAGATCTTTCTAACGATGAAAGCACTATAGAGAAACAAGAAGAATTTGAACATAAATATAATTTTAGATTTGAAGAACCTGATCAGGAGTTTGTAAGACAATTAAATAATATTTCTTTCCTTTCATAATGATAATTTTGTAGATTAAACGATATCCTCGTACAATGGAAAATTCATCAAGAAGGAAAGATGACAGGAGAAAGATAAAAAGGCAAGAAACTAAAGACAGAAAGAAGAAAGAGAAGGAAGAAAAAATGAAGGAATTAAAAACACTTCAGGAGCTTAAACGGAAAGAAATTGAGGAAAAGTTAGAAAAGCTGAAAGAAATTACTGGCAATTCTGATATTACTTTTGAGGTAGGGATGTTTTTGATTAAAAGTTTTTGTTAATTCTTACAGTATATTTTATGTACCTTTTATTATGATACAGAATCAGGACATAGATGGTGATTTTGATCCAGAGGCACATGATAAACGAATGCAAGCTCTTTTTAATGATAATTATTATCAGGGTCCAGAAGAAGAACAAAAACCTGTGTTTCCAGAAATAGATGAAGAACTAGAAATAGGTGTGATATTCGTATACCTACTTTATTTTTTCACATTTCTGATTAGAGATAGACAAAATACAAACGAATTTAATAATTTAACATATTTTATTTCTTTTTCAGAATCTTGGGATAAATACGAGGGTGCAAATGAAGACAATACTCAAAGTATACCACACTGTGAGGATGACGACTTTAATGTAGGAAATAATAATTTTTATGCAACATTCATACTAAACATATGTTAATTTTAGATGGACTGCGATTATGATCCCAATTCTTCAACTCAAAATGAGTTAATAGAACAGACTAAGAGGAAGAAGAAAAGGAAACGGAAATCAATGGTTGCAGAAGCTTTAAGCAAACCTAAACCAAAATTTGATCCTACTGATAAGACCTATGAAAAATACTTTGATGAATATTATAAGTTAAATTGTGAAGATATAATCGGAGATATTCCGTGTAGATTTAAATATCGAACAGTGGTACCTAATGATTTTGGATTATCTACTGAAGAAGTATATACAATTATGTAAAATTAAGTGTCTTATATTTCTATTATATTTATTTTTAGATCTTACTTGCTAAAGACCGAGAATTAAATAAATGGTGTTCACTGAAAAAAGCCGTTCAAATACGTCCAGATCATGTTGAAAAATATGATCAAATTGCCTATAAGAAAAAAGCTGGTAATATAAACCTAAAGAAAAAAATTCTACCTAGTTTGTTTACACCAGATACAGGAGAGGAAGGTGGTAAAATTCCTGAAGTAAATAGTGAAGAAAAAATGTTATCAAGCGAAAGTAACAATGGAGGTTTACGTTCTCCGAAAGTCAGTCGACAAAGTAACAGTGCTGTAAAATGTAAAGATGAAGATGTAAATACCAATAGTGCACCTAAAAAGGAAACGAATAATAAAAATATCAAGGAACAAATTAATCATGATATAAAAGATTCAAAAAGCCTAGTAAATCCAAATATAGATTTTCGCGAGGTGAAAAAATGTAAATCAAAAAGGAAAATAAAGAAAAATATTTCTAGTGAAACTAATCAGAGTCAGATTCTTCAAAGAAAAAGAAAGATTTCAATAAATGGCCAAGGAGCTGTAGAAGTACCGAAGAAAAAAAATAAGAAAGGCAAGAAGCAGAATAAAAATAATAGTAAGAAGTTAGACATATCAGATGCACGATTATCAGCATATGGTATCAATCCGAAGAAATTTAAAAATAAACTAAAATTTGGGAATAAAATATTGGAAAAATAAACATTTTTTTTAAATGTAATGTAACAATGTATTTGTAAGTACTAAAAAGTACTACATTTTTTATTTAAATGTAATAATATTTTTATCTGTTTAAACACATAGTAAAGTATAAAGATGTGCCTGTTTTATTTATCGAAGTCCTATTTGCAGTTGTCCATATCATCGGGTAGAACTTGACATATCGACAAAATTTAGTTACAAGTTATCTCATGGTTATCCATTAATATCTAAAATTAGTGTTATTTTTTGAAGAATTATATTGGAATATTTTCTTTTAGCATGTAGTTAAAAGCCACATTTTTATTGTTTTATGATTCGTAATTCCGCTGAATGTACGATGAAATTTTCATTTGTCTAATCAACTCAAAATTATTTATGCATTATTTATATTAATATTGCCTCAAAAAAAAAAAAATGGGTAGTTAAAAAATTTTATAAAATGACCAAAGATGGTGTTAATTTCCAGTACGTGCAAGAACATTGTAAATATTTTAGTTGTGTTGGTCTCATTTTAGCTTGACCAAAATCATATTCTCTGCAAGTTTCAGATGTGCACTGCCATTTACTCATATATTTAAACAGACGATATAAAACCTTCATTAAATATCCATATTTACCAGATCTAAGTCAAGATTTTGCAGCAAATTGTTTGATTGTATCTGTCACACAGTACCTATTAATAAACAAATTTACATATGTATATGGCATTAGAGAGCTTCCGCAAAAATGTATAAAATCATATCAGGAAGAAAAATCAGATTATAATGACGTAAAATCAACATCACTAGAAATTAATTCCGGAATACCCCAACAGTCAATTCTAGGACCAATCTTATTCATTATATACAGTGTATTTCACTTAAAGTCGGTACACCTCCGTATTTAGGTCGGCGTTGGCCGATTTCTAAAATTCTTTTATTTATATAGTACTCAAAAAGGCCTACTTTTTGATATATTTTTTTACGTGATCTTTTCTACAGCCTACTATCATTAAGAAAGGGCCCTCAAAAATTAAAAAACGTATTAGACATTTTTTTAAAAAAGAAATGGATAGTATTATCGATTTGATCACACCTCAAAACCCTAAATACAAAGTTTCATTATTATAACTTTTACATGGTGTTCACAAAATAGGTGTAAACTTCGAAAAATTTCACTCGTGGCAGTGTCCTATAACAGTGGAAATATTTTCAAGGTATTTTTTCATAATTTTATTAACTGAAGGTATATCCATGCAGTTTCATTTATATCACTCATACAGGGTGCTCACAATAAGATATATATTTTTTTTATTTTACCAGAAATGAGTTTCAAAACGAAATAAAACTTAAATATTACTGTTTTATTAGTCCACCATCACTTGGTATGCACTGTTCAATTCGTCTCCTGTTTCTAATAACTCTCCTCAACTGATGTGGTGTTATTTGTCAACATGCTTGTCTAATTCTTTTACATAAATCTTATCTGTTCTGGGGCCTTGTTCTATACAATTTATTTTTCACAGTTCCCCATAAAAAGAAATCAAGAAGCGTCAAGTCTGGAGCTCTTGACGCCCACATTGTTTCTGTGATCTGTGACGCCCACTCAACCGTTAGTTGACAATCCGTTTTGTCGCGACGTATCCACTTTCTCGGATATTCTCATTCAACCAATGACGTACCATTACCGCATTATGAATAGGTGCTCCATCTAGTTAAAGGTAGAGGTTCTGTCTTACATAAAGAAGAAGTGCATGTACTGAATCCCAGAAATCATTATTTAAAAAATTCAAAAGAATCTGCGTTTAGATTAACGTTAAAAGAGAAGGGCCCGATTATTCGATCACGTAAAATCCCACAAAACATACATTTTTAAAATTAAGATTTATGTAATAGAATTAGGCAAGCATGTCACCACACCAGTTGTGGAGAGTAAAATAATAATTAATAATAATAATAATAATAATAATAATAATAATAATAATAATAATAATGATAATGATAATGATAATGATAATGATAATGATAATGATAATGATAATGATAATGATAATGATAATGATAATGATAATGATAATGATAATGATAATGATAATGATAATGATAATGATAATGATAATGATAATGATAATGATAATGATAATGATAATGATAATGATAATGATAATGATAATGATAATGATAATGATAATGATAATGATAATGATAATGATAATGATAATGATAATGATAATGATAATGATAATGATAATGATAATGATAATGATAATGATAATGATAATGATAATGATAATGATAATGATAATGATAATGATAATGATAATGATAATGATAATGATAATGATAATGATAATGATAATGATAATGATAATGATAATGATAATGATAATGATAATGATAATGATAATGATAATGATAATGATAATGATAATGATAATGATAATGATAATGATAATGATAATGATAATGATAATGATAATGATAATGATAATGATAATGATAATGATAATGATAATGATAATGATAATGATAATGATAATGATAATGATAATGATAATGATAATGATAATGATAATGATAATGATAATGATAATGATAATGATAATGATAATGATAATGATAATGATAATGATAATGATAATGATAATGATAAT